CTGCGTTGGCTGTGGGAGAGCGCAACGAAAAGGATCACGAGGCGCAGGATCATTGTCCTGCTGTGCGCCAGACAACTGTGTCAAGCCGTCAAGCAGTTTTCGCAGTGCTACATTTTCCCTTTTTTCCCAATCGCTTTTCCATTTTGCTTGTCCGTTTTTTTTTTTTTGCCTTGAGCACTTGCCCATTGGCCTGCCAAGGATTTTATAAATGACACACGCGTCCGGGACGCACTTGATAAATGAAGCTGCCACACGATAATGGATTCTTTTAGTTGCCGCTGTTGTTGCAACAGTTGTTGTTGCTTTTGGCAGTGAAAGTAGCGCCGGCGCTTCGATCCGTGTGGGCCAGCCGGGCTGAGCAAATTTTGATGGTAAGTGCAGATAGGCCAGGAGTACGAAAAAAAAAAATGTTTAATGAGAATTTCGTATGGACTGCACTGTGATTAGGCCTCAATTTCTGGTGGTCCAATACCACGTAAGGGCTTGAGATAAGCAACAAAAAGGTGTCCTACTCTCGTTTGCCCGACTAGCATATATCCTGTAACTTAAATTATTTTTATCATTATTAAAATGCACTGACCAGCTATCGATATATATCGATTTACGTTCATTGACTGCGGAGTCGATAGTTATCAGTACTATCAAATAAGCATGATTAGAGCTTAGTAAACATTTGGAGTGTCTAGCTTGTAAAAACTGCAAAACATACTTAAAATTTACAGGCAAGCTCTCGATCTATATCGATTTCCATTAATTTGCTTGGACAGGGGAACTTATCAGTGTTGTGAAATAAGCCTAATGCGAGCTTGGCAACGGTTGCTTGATTTGGCGAGTGTTTCTCCAAATATAAATATATTTTACAGCAATTGGAAAACATATTAATACAAATAGGCATTAATACAAATAGTGCATTACTTCGCAGATTGCACAACTGCAATATACCCCTTAATTCTTCACATTTTCAATTGAATGTAGGGTATCAAAAAGGAATACACCATGCGAAGGGTAATTAAATGCCATTAAATGCTGTGAGACAGAAGAACGAAGACAGAAGACGCAGCAGATACCGAAGACAGCAGGCAAAGTATCTGTTTATCTGCTGAATGCAGTGAGAGTGGAGTCGCACACACACACACACACGCAAACACACACACCCAGAGGCAACCAGAGACAGACACACACAAGCACAGAAACACAGAAACATAACAAGTTGAAAAGAATAAGCAGCAGCAACAAAACGAGGAGGAGCAGACAGACCAACACACACACACACACACACACATGCACACATGTTAAGACACACACACACACATTAACCCTCACACACTCGTACACACACACACTCTTGTGCCCAGGGCGTCTACGTGTTGGCTGCGATTAACATACAAAAGGATCTCTCGCGCAGTTTTGGAGCCGCCTTCTACGAGTTCTTCTTCTTGCTGGTGTGTGCGCGCTCATCCGCCAATCGGCATGAATCACCCCGCCGCCAGCCGCCAGCCGCAGTCAACATTGTGCAGCACACGGCGGCGCAGCCAACGCGTCGACATTCTTCGGGCGCAGCAGCGGCTTTTTCTTTTTCTTTCTTTCATTTTTAGTTGATTTTTTTTTTTTTCTTTGCCTTGCCTCTATTTTTTGGGCAGGCATCTCTTCCGGTTTGGTTCTCTGAGCATAGATTTGTCTCGGAAACATGATGCGCGCTTGCAAAGCAGGGCGACAGACGGCGTCAAGTGCGCCGCGCAGGACAATGGGCAATGTGCAACGTGCAGCGTGCAACGTGCAACGGCTACTTAAGCAGCAGTTGGCGCCAGTTTCCAAGCCAGAAAAGGAAAAGGAAAATCGAAACAGTACCAAAGCCAGAATGTCTGGCAACGCTTAAGTTACCAGACGTCGCGACCATTAGCGACGCCAGTGGACAGTGGACACGGGACAAGGGACAGGGTATAGTCAGCTTTGCAGACAAAGAAATAGCACGCCGAAGATTAAATACGAGAAGCATTATTAAACTACAAATATTGGAAAAACCTAGAAGTTTTTAAAGCATTAAGTTATATATCGACCGATATTGCCTATGGAGACATATGATATAGTACTGCGATTATTTTTAGACTTTGTGTGGATGTTGGAAATATAGTAAAAGTTTGTTCAAGATATCAACATGTGAAGATATAGTACTTAACTTTGGAGTGATCTTTCCTAAAGCAGCACATGATATGCTCTTCCGATTTGGTCGATTCCGACAATTGTACCCTTTAGATTGCCCTTTGGATTTGAGTTCCCTTTGCTAGGACTTGAGCCCAATATTATAAATTACGTTGAAATAATTAAAATTTTATCATAACTCAGTTAAGTGTAGAACTTAAATAATATCAAGATTGACAAAATAATAATAATGTTCAGTTTTATTAGGCTTTTCTTTAACTATTTGCCAAATCAGGAGCTGAACTCCCTCAGGGAGCAAATAGAACAGCCCCTTCAGAGCATTAGGACTGTGTCATCCAAACAAATTTTATTCAATGATGAATTATTATAATTAGAATGAGTTCACATCCTGATTTGACCTTGTTTCCTTTAATTACAAAATGATACACAATATTTTGTGGTCCTTCTAGTTTTTTCTAATGCAATTGAAAATCATAATAATATTAATTCACTAAGCGCTATCCAACACTGGCAACCATTCAGTGGCCACAGTTTGCCAAAGACAAAAAAAAAGAAAGAAATAAAAGCAAAGCAGAATTCAAGGCAGTGACAAGGGCGAAGGCGGAGGCGGCTCCACCTACTCAGGGCCAAGTTAGCCAGCGTCGTTTTGGCTGGCTTGCAGCACTTGCTGGCTGGTCAGCAACAGCAAGAAGAAGAACAGCGAGAGGAACAACAAGATCTGCTGCAGCTCTCTCTGGGCAACCTTTTTGTGGCAGTCACTTTGGCTGCCTCGGGGCCGTCCGGGTGTGTGTCAAGTCATCTCCACAAACGGCCAAAAAGGCAGTTGAAATGCATTTAACTGTTTGCCTTGGTATTGGTACACAACGTTCCGCCGTCCCGCTGTCCCGCTGTCCGGCTGTCCCTAGCATCTGTCTAACTGTGTGCAAGTGCGAAAGAGCTGGCGAGTGTCATTCTTGCGGGCCAACGTTTCGGCCCTTCTTCTTTTTACCTCTTGCCAACCAATAAAATTATACTAATTCTTGACTTTTTGATTTCATTTTGTGTGCTGTTGTTAAGGATTTCTTTACCTAAATACACTCAGGTGAGTCTGTGTGTGTGTGTGTGATTGCGGGTGTGTATGTGTGTGTATGTTAACAGACACTCTAAAAAATAAGCATGGGCTCTCGCTCGCACCTCACGATCACGATCTGACTGGGCCCTGGCTGGCTGGCAACCAGCCCCAGGAATGCGTGCGCCGCGCAACACGAGACAGTTTGGTTTTATACTTGGCTCATTGCGCGCGTGCAACTCCCCGAGCAAAGAGTATTGTTTTTTTTTTTATTTATATTATTTTCGATTTTAGTTGTATATTTTTAATATACATCAATTCTTTATTCGATGCCCACCTGTGCCCGACCGATTGAAGCACACGCAATTGGGTCGCAGTTCGTTTAATAGCCCCACACTTAGGCAGAGTAAGTAGCCCGACAAGCTTAAGCTTAAGCTAAAGTATAATAATATTATTAAGAAATAATTCGATCGTTTGTGAGCAAGGCTGGCACGGCTTCAGCTCAAGCTGATTAACATACCCAGCACTTTTTTCAAGGCAGCTCAAGCTAAATAAATATAAAATATATTTCAAGAAATGATCAAATCTCGTGCATCATATCTTATTTACAATACGTATATATATATATATATATATATGTATATATATATGTAAATATATTGTTGCTTAGAATTCATTTGTTAAATATAGTCGTTAATCAAAACGATATAGAAGCCATTAGTTGTCTGATTTTAATATATTATACTTATAATTATATAAAAAGCAAAAAAAATGCTGTGGCGATATTTCCAATTCATAAATAAACAAACAAATGTTTATCAAATAAAATATTTACTTTTTCTTCAATAAAAACTTAATTATATTTAATATTCAAAATTTTAATATAATATAATATAATCAAAATAATTAAAAACTTTGAACTCTTATAAGCATTGTGAACAGTGGGGACATTAATTTAGGAGCACAAAAAGTATGATTTGGATTAAACAAATTAAAATTTAATATTTACATTTTTTTATGTTTTATTTATTTCTCATATATTTGCTAATATATGCTTATTTTTTTATTGCTCGTACTCGCCAATTCAGGCAAAGTATAAAACCAATTCCCAGATTGCTTTAATTCGAAATAATTTAACAAATTTGAATTTAAAATTTTCACGGCACACTTTTTACTTATATTAGCTTCTTTTTTAATATATTTTATTTTGTAGACTTATAATCTTGCAGCTTTTATTTATTGCTCGTTCTCGTAAATTGGTGCTTTATTAAATACAAAATATTTTAATCAGTTTTGCTCTTAATTTAAGAAAATATTTTCAAAAATAGATGAGACTAATATTTATTGTGCAAAATAAGTATACAATAATATAATATATATGATTAAATATATATTTATAAATAGATACAAAATAATTTTCTCAAATCATAAACTTTAACAAATTATTGAAAATTTAGCTAAGCTTTTAATATCAAGCTTTTTATACGCCTGACTTCAAAAATCATTTGCTTTTAATATACAGAAACTTTTCCAATATCTTTGTCGCTTCGAAAAAGTTCTAAAAGTGTCCATTTTCTTATATGCAATCCTCAAGAAAAGCTCAATTCACGCATGAGCCAAAACTGCGCTCAGAGCATAGAGACGCCGTTTGACTCAATTAGTCTGTGCGTGCATATGTGTGTGTGTGCATGTGTGTGTGTGTGCGTGTGCATGTGTGCTTACGCTCAACTGCTGAGAGTGAATGAGCGTCTCTGTCGAAAGCAAAAACTGACGACGCGCTGGCTGCCAGTGGCAAATGGAACTTCAGACGAGATGGATGCGTGATCATCATCAAACTAATGATGATCATCAACAACAGTTAAGCTTGCAGAGAGGGAGCGACTGAGAGAGAGAGAGACAGAGAGCGAGAGGGCGAGGGAGAGAGATAGTGAGTTTCTGAGAGCTGAGAGCGCTCGTTTCCACTCAGACGCAACGACGACGCTGTCAACGATGAGAGCCGAATGCGTTCGGCTCGCTTTGCTTGGCGTTCGTGCGCGTTTTACCTGTAATCAGGTAGAGGTAGACAGAGAGGCGTTAGTTGTTCCACAGCGCTGATCGAGTCGAAAACAATATTTGCTGGCCCGTTGCCCGACGCCCAAAAGCCAAATGAAAAAGTGTGCCCAACAGTTTTTGGCGTAAAGCAAAAATAAATAACTAACTACAACAAAAAACGGCTCCAAAATTAATTTGTTGTGCGTGTGTGTATCTGTGTGTGCGTGTGTGTTTGTGTGTGCGTGTGTGTGTGTGTCTGTGCGCATTTAGCTGGAATGTCAGACTGACAAGTTGTAAAGGGAAACCCTGAAATACAAAAGCAGCAAAAAAGCAGAAGCTCAATAAATATAAAATCAATTTAAAGCAAAGCAAACAAACAAAAGATACAGCCGCAAAGTTTGAGATACAGATAAAAGAGCTCTATGTGAAGTGCGCGCGTATTTGCATAGCCAACAACAACAACAACAAAGACAACAACAACAACAACAACGGCAACAACAACAACGGCAGCAACAACAACGTAAAGAAATCGTCGAAATTAAACGTTTCGTGCGACTCCGTTTGCATTTTTATTTTGGCATTTGGTTTGTTGTCACTTGGAAAATATGTGGATTACTGTGCCGTCAGCAGAAACTCCAACAATAACTACAAAAACGGCAACAACAACGGCAACAACAGCAGCAACAACAGCAACAACGACAACACGAGCGCGCTGCAAAGGCGAGCGCGTGAACAAATCGCAAATTGAATGTAAAGTTTGAACAACAAGAACAACAAACAAGACAGTGCCAATGCTTAAAGTATCTGACAGATACGTAATTCCTGTGTCATGTGTCCTGACAACAACAACAATAAAAGCAACAGCAACAACGACAACTGCAACAACAGCATTTACACACAATCAGTGCCAGCGGCTGCGCCTGCGCCTGGAATGCGGCAATAAAATTGTTAACAAGAATTTCATCTATTTCATTTACAATTATCGCAAGCGAAAAAACGCAGCGACCAAACTGAGATTTAACGCATTTATTATCACATATTTACAAAGACCGTGATTTCATTTTTTTTTCCTTCGTGTACCCCGGCCCGTTGTGCAACACGCGGCTGCACGGTAGCCGCTTGCCACTTAAAACAGCTGTAAATTGTGCAAATATATCTAAGGCAGAGTGAGAGATAGAGAGAGAGAGTGCGAGGGAGAGGTAGAAAGAAACCAAAGCAACAACCGCTGAGATAAGCGCACAGCCCGGAAAACCGACGATATAAATGTAAATGTCATAAATTCATCAAAGCACGTTTACTGAGGGCCCTGCGAGAGCCAATCCATCAAAATACGCGGCTTACAAATTAATAACTAAAGAAATAAAGTGTAAAGTAAAAAAGTATAACGATATATAACTCTACACATACAAGTCTAGATCCCGAGATACGACAACATAGGAAACTATATAAGACTGAGGTGAGTTCTCTGTTCCCATCCGCTGCGACGGAGTGAGTGTGTATCTGCGTGTGTGTGTGTATGTGTGTTTGTGTGTGTACTGCAACAATCAGCCCACAGCCCCCGCCTGAAAGGCTCAATTCTCGCTAAGCTTATGTAAATTGTTCCCTGTGAGAACCTCACACAAAGACAAACCAAGCAAGCAGGTCGCATCGCTGAAAACTAAAATGCTCGACTAACAGATACTCTGCAGCCTTTTCCACGCTCAGCAGTTATTCCTTGACCCACAGAAATCCATCCTTCAATAACTTCGATGCTTACAGTCCGATCTTGCTTAAATGTTTACGACTTAAAGACGACGCACAAGGCTTTACATTCCGTAATAATTTGTGTTCCTTGGGAATATGGGGATATAAGCATAAGCTATATATACTCTACGATAAGCCACAAATAATGTTTAAAAACTGGGGAAGTTGTCAGGAAAGGAATATTAATTCCTTTTGACTTCCTTTTGATGCAGATCAAGGATGTATATTTTAAGGGTTCGGAGATGATTTCTACTGCCTGTTACATGCACTTGCCCAAAACCCTTAGACACTTCTACTCACTTTCAATGGGTACAGGGTATACAGGGTATAAGCATATGCCCAACAAGAATTACACAGCCCCCGACACTTAACCCCTGCCAATATGCATAGTCAGTGGTTAGAATTTCACGTGTTACCATTTCAGAGTTTCATTTGATATTGGTAAATGTGAAAATGAGTTGGGCTTAATTTCTGTTTTATTTTATGGGGGCATTTTACATAACTTTACAAAGGGTCAAATGCGGAATGCAGTGCAATAAATAAACTCAATAAATGCTCGTGTGTGTAGGATACTTAATTTTTTATTAAATTGAATTATAAGTATTCGTCAGCTGCACAATACTGAAATGTGTTGAATATTATATATCTGTTTTAAATTTTAAATGTTTTATTACAACTTCTGGGGCAAGCTGAAGTAATGCGAATTATTTGGGCATATAAAGATTGAGCTCCAATGATTAAGTTGTTGTATCTTTATGATTGACTGATCATCTTTGTAAAGGACTGTTTTCTTCTACCAGACGAATATATTTCGTTGCGTTTGTGTTTATTTTTATATTCAACTATATACATACTTATAAGCCTAACTAAATATTTTACAAATTATATTTGTTACAAATGCAAATGCATAATTTTGCATGTTCCCCAAATTCGATTCTGATTAAAAAGTCAAAAATCATCTTAAGCTTTAATATAAACCAAGAATTGGTTAAATTAAAGTTAGTTCTTCCTGCTCAACTTATATCCTTAATATGGGAAATGAAAGCCATTAGCATGGGACTCAATTATTTGTTAACTGTTTGCATCTTAACAAATTCTGTTATATATCGTACTCACCTAAAGCTGAGATTGCAAACGCCTTGTATTCTCTTCGAAGCTTTAACTAGTTGAGAATTGCAAGCGCCAGGTGACGCAAATATGCATACATTTTCTTTGTGTTTTACACTTCTCGTCTATCTCTTGTACTTTTCTTTATTTACACCAACTCTTCGGTCGAAGGGGCGTGATATGCACCTGGTACATGGAAATAATTTAGTTGAAATCCCGCAACTCGCTTCGATCAAAATATTTTCACGCATTCGATTGCGTGAATAGCTCTCAAAATATATCATAATCGTGAAAGAGGAGCGCAGGGGGATTCCGGGAATGAACATTGTTGGCTGACAATAAAGTACCGTTGGCCCGCTCTCGAGTGTGTCGGCAATGGCACAAAGGCCACAAAGGATGTCGATGTCAATGTCCTGGCCCATAAATAACAAACTACATAATATGAATTGTATGCGTATTAAATGCCTCAACTAGTGCCATTGTATCTAAGCATCTTTGTGCAACCAACTAACTGTGAGAGCGTGCTGTGTGCCCTTCTCTCAGGTGTGTGTGTGTGTGTGTGTGTGAACATATTGTGCTAACTGTGTGTGTGTGTGTGTGCGTGTGACACACATCGTTAGGTTCTACTATGTCATCTATTGCCCAATCGAAATGAAAACTTGCAACGAAAATATGTGTCAATTTGCGCAAGAAATTTGCGTTTGCGTTTTGCGTTAACCCAAAAGAAATAAATGAAATTTGAACTTTTCCCAAAGCTTGCGGTTTTGTTTAGCCATAAGGTTGAGACTCGAAGTTCTGAATCAACGCACGCTCGGAAATTCCCGCATTGCATTCAGTTCTCGGCCGCAAAGGGGAAACCCCCGAGTCCAGGTAGTCCTGCGGCTAGCGAACCAAGCGAACCCAAAATTCTGGGAACATATACGAAAAAAAAAAAGCAACAAACAACAAATTATGTAAAAATTCATAAAGCAATTGATAAACAATAGATAAAAATCCAATAACCAATGCATAATTATGAAAATTTTCATTCAACCTCCTACCCCAGACTCTGAGGGTAACAAAATTTTCATTTAGTTTTTATCTAAGGCGTTAGATCTGAAAAGGAAAAACCCCCGTCGCTGGCCGAGGCACCCCCCAGCGTGTGCCAACCAAATTCTTGTTCTTGTTCTTGTTCTCTTTTCATTTATAACGAAATCTGAAATTCCTTTGCGCCTAGCGCCTGGTCATATAACAAAATTTTTAGTTCTTTTTAGTACTAGATAAGATTTTAATCTTTATGTGAAAAACAACATGTAATTTGTTGTGCCACGGAACGGTGTGCGTGTGTGCGTGTCTGTGCGTGTGTGTGCGGCACGTAGACCTGCTTAAGGTGCCTGCTACGGACTCATCTTGAGATAGAATCTCACAAATTTATTGCCTATAACCGAAAACCGAAATCTATATAGAATACTTTTAATAATTTTCATAAATTTTCCAAGATAAAAGCAGTTTGATTTTTTCTTCAACTTTTTGGAAAATGCCGCCTGTATATAAATCAAAGGCCGATAAGTTCGTTTGTCTCACACGACAAAAAAAAAAAAAACAAAAAAACTTGAGAAATGAGAAATGACGAAAAATTATGACGGCCCCGTTTGCTTCTCTAATTTCCCCTGCCCAGCCCCCCTGCACCCGCCCACCTCACCCCATCCCGCTCACTTAACATATTATTGAACCCACTTTCTGTAGTTGTCCGTGTGTGCATGTGTGTGTGGTTGTGTGTGTGCGTATGTGTGTCTACATGTATTTGATTTGTATTGAATTTCTAAGCGTAGACACAAATCGCTGCTGCATACCACAGATCGTGTGTCAGCGCGCCGAAAAGGTGCAATGTCCGCGGTTGCAACACCACGAAATAAAAAAAAAATGTGAAAAAATCACTCAAATTGAGCACAGAGCTGAGCTGTGTGGGTTGGCTGGGCGGCGGGAGGAGTGTTAGCTTGGGCCCAGCCAATGAGCCACAGCTCATTTTCGTAGCTTCTGCTTGCTTACTTTGCGGCAGGACGCACCTTTCGCCGGCCATAAAACTTGGCTTAAGGAAGCTGCCGCTGCTGCTGCTGCTGCTGCTGCGCTACCTGGCCGAAGCGCTCAATGCGCTCTCACGCTCAAAAACGCACTCACGCGTCGCGTCGAGAGCGCGCTAACAACGCAGCCGCAAACGCATTTGCCTTGCTGTGTGTCGCGTGTGTGCGTGTGTGTGTGTGTTGTGCTCAGTCTCTATGGTTGTCCCGCTCTGACACAGGCCTTGCGCGAGCATGCGCGCTCATTGAGCGCAGCCAAACAGCTGCGCGCGCTCTCTCAGCCACTATGCTCTCTCTTTGAGTGGCAAGCATATGAGCGTTTTTACGCCATGCTCTGTGAACCGCGCAGTCAACGTGTGCGTCGACGCCGGCGTCGGCGTCGTTTTAACCCTATCGACAAATGCTTAACAATTTCCTATGTTTTTGTATCGTTTCAGAGTTGCAAGCGACCATGCGCGCATGGCTTCTACTCCTCGCAGTGCTGGCGACTTTTCAAACGATCGTTCAAGTTGCTAGCACCGAGGATATATCAACGAGATTTATCGCAGCGATAGCGCCAACAACAGCAACAAAGGCCATAATAAATAGTAATATAACTAAAACAACAAAAACAACAACAACTACGACAGCATTAGCAAAAGCATTTAAGCCATTTAACGAGTTACTACTCAGCAACAACAACAACAACAACAACAACTACAGCAGTGATAGTGATATTAACAACAACAAGAAAAACAACAAAAACAAAAGCAAGCATAGCAAAAGTGCCGCCTCGAAACAGTTTAACGAAGTGCATAAAACAAGAACAGACCAATTAGAAAATTCCAAAAATTCCAAAAATAAGCATAATAAACAGCATAAGCATAAACAATTAACTAATCATAATACAACAACACCAGCAACAACAACAATGGCCAAAAAGGAGCTGCAACAACAAAAACAACAACAGCAACAAACCGCCATTGCGAACGTGTTTGCCCTCAGCCCCGCCTCGAAGCCCGCCCCCAGCTTCAGCACCAGCTCCAGTTCCAGCTCCAGCTCCAGCTATATTCCGGATTCGAGCAATACGAATACGGACAGCGTTTTGGGTGAATTCGAAATGCCGGGCATTGCGGACGCGATCATCGCCGAGGACGAACCGGCCACATATAGCAGCAAGGAGATAATCAAGGACAAAGTGAAACCGGATCCATCCACTCTAGTCGAAATCGAAAACAGTCTCCTGTCGCTGTTCAATATGAAGAGGCCGCCAAAAATCGACAGATCCAAAATCATAATACCGGAGGCAATGAAGAAGCTCTATGCCCAAATTATGGGACACGAAATTGATTCCGTGAATATACCCAGACCGGGCCTATTAACTAAATCAGCGAACACTGTGAGAAGTTTTACACATAAAGGTGAGTTGTGCACATCATCTAGATAAGGGGGGATTATTAGATAGTTAGATAAAATCGTTTAGTTGAAGAAAAGCGTACACTCTGATTAAAGTTTATTCAGTCTTTATTCAAGCGCATCAAAATAAATATTAACAATTCAATGTTTTTTTGATCTTTTATCAATTTAAGTTTTCAATTCCTCGAAATCTAGAAATGATCTTGCATATTTATCACTTAACTTAAATAATGGAAAGTGTGATGGCACAGTAAAATATTGTTAGATATTTTAGTTAAGCTTATCCCAAAGTTCAAATCTATGTCTTAATCTAAGTCTTGTATTCAAAGGAAAAACTAGTTAGAGATTTCTCAGAACAGTTTGCGAGCCCAAGATTCGGGAATGTGCCAAACATGAATCAGATTCTATTATTAACCTTGAATTGATTAACCTTAGCAACAAATATTCAAAAGTAACCTCAAGAGCCAATCCTAAAAGCAGATTTTTAGATCTAACCCTAAAAACGAACAAAACGAAAGACAAGCCCTAAAAAGTACTTCTAAACTGTCTAAAAATTGTCTTTGAATACTTTCCCCATCAACAAATTCTTAAGTCTTTGAAGATAACACTTTATATGTTCTTAAAGATGGTAAAGTTCTAGAAGAAAAATTAAATTACATATTTTCTTCTATTACCGAAATGCAATAATTAGAAACTGGAACTAATATAAAACTGAACTCTAGATTTCCGTGTAACAGACTTAAAAAGAAAACGAAAATTTAATTTTAGAAAATTGAGTGATTCAAGGATATTTTTAAGAATTTCTCAACAAATTCCAGAAATGAATATATTCCAGTTTAACATTCTCCCGTTTTAATATTAGAAAACTAGTAAAATCTTTACAAGGGGGAACAATGTAAAACTCAAACTGTTAGTTAAATGTCTGTAACTGTTTTTGCACCTGCTTGCAGCCGTGTAGCAGTTGCAACATTTGCACTGCCTCTTTGCTGAGAGACTCTATGCAATGCGTTTGAGCAACGCGTACTTTCCAGCTAGCAAAACGCGAATGAAGAGCACGACAGGATTTTCCCCTGAAATTGTGGTTCATCTAAGCGATTTGCATACCTGGGCGCATCTCGAAGATGCAGCGATATATTTTTGGGCATCATTCACGCAAGAGCTGTGGAAATCACGCGGAAATTCCGCAGCATTCAAATGAAAGGTCGCCAGGCGAAAGGGACATGCGCCGTGTCCCTTTTACCTGAGACGTCGTTCACTCTTAACCCAAATGTGACCTTGAAATTTTTCTACGGAATTACACCCGGAACGTTTAGCGCATGCGCCAAATGGCTTTTATATTGTGTTTGTAAAAATAACAATTATTATTAAAGCGTATTTCGCATTATTTTCCACAGGATTAGAGGGATGAACAATAAAGCAGTTAGGCCCAGATAGCACACAGATACACACACGCACACACACCCACACACACACACACTCACACAGATAGTTGGCTGATCAGGTAGCACTGCCAAGTGTCTAAAGCCAAGTGTCTAAGCCGAGCAGCGCATTCGAGTTCGTCTCGGTCTCTGTCTTTTTCTCTGTGTCCGTCTCGATCTCGGTTTTGGTCCTCGCGGCTTCGTTTTCCTGCTGCGGCTCAGAGAGAATTTACGACTTGTCTCTTTGTTCGTGGTACTTGAGTTTTCTTCTTCTATTTTTCCATTTTCCGTTTTTTTTGTTGTTGTTGTTGCTGGTCTCTTGGTGGTTGCTGATTCAAATTAAGATTTTGTGCCGAGCCACCTTTGCGCACCTTGCACCTTGCGTGGCCAGCCGCTGCGGATCGTATCCTGCGTGTGGGTGGGTCAGGTCTTTTGCACAGGCGCCAGTCGTAAAAGTCGGCTCGACAAAAGTGACCGAAGCGACCGCCCCGGGCAACTGGAACGTGTGATTTTCGGCTCGCTGCTGCTTCTTCTTCATTTGATACCCTTGCAGAGGGTATTTGAGATTTGTCATGGAATGTGTAACTCTCAGAGAGAGAGGGAATATTTGAGATTTGTGATATATATGAGATATTCTCTCATTTTAAGGAACTGGTAGGACCTAATCATTAGATCATACGTGAATAGCCGTCTGAAAGTTAAGTTATTGTTGAAAAGGCTTTTTCTTTTTTAAGATATCATGAACAATCTTTGTATTCAAGAGTTTTACTAAGCTGCTTACAAATGAACATAGTTTTTGTATAGATATAATCATATTCAGATTATCTAAATCTATTCAGAACGAATCGATAGAAATTAGATGTACTTAAAGATAACTGAAGCAAACTCTCCAAATACGAACTTTTCAATTCCCCTCGCTTGTCAGCCAAGTCGTAAGCCACATAGGTTAAAAGTTTAATAAAACTTCAAGTTGTTATTATTTATATTTTGTCTAATTGTATGTGTTGCAGATAGTAAAATCGACGATAGATTTCCACATCATCATCGGTTTCGGCTGCACTTCGATGTGAAGAGCATACCCGCCGAGGAGAAGCTGAAGGCCGCCGAGCTGCAGCTGACGCGCGAGGCGCTCAGCGTTAGCCAAACGGTGTACCGGACCCGCTACCAGGTGCTCGTCTACGATATCACCCGGGTGGGCGTGCGGGGCCACAGGGAGCCCAGCTATTTGCTGCTGGATACGAAGACAGTGCGTCTGAATAGCACCGAAACGGTGAGTCTGGACGTGCAACCTGCCGTGGATCGGTGGCTGGCTACACCGCAAAAGAACTACGGCCTGCTGGTGGAGGTGCGGACGATGCGCTCCCTCAAGCCGGCGCCGCATCATCATGTGCGCTTACGCCGCAGCGCGGACGAGGCGCACGAGGATTGGCAGCACAAGCAGCCGCTGCTCTTCACCTATACGGACGATGGCCGGCACAAGTCGCGTTCCATACGCGACGTCAGCGGGCGGGAGGGGGGCGGCAATGGTGGCGGCGGTCGCAATCGTAGGCATCAGCGACGCTCGAGACGCAAAAATAATGAAGATAATTGCCGACGGCATTCGCTGTACGTGGACTTCCAGGATGTTGGCTGGAGCGATTGGATTGTGGCGCCGCCGGGCTATGATGCATATTATTGCCATGGCAAGTGCCAGTTCCCGCTGGCCGATCATCTCAATTCCACAAACCATGCGGTTGTGCAAACCTTAGTCAATAATCTCAATCCAGGGAAGGTACCAAAGGCGTGCTGTGTGCCCACACAGCTTGAGGGCATCTCGATGCTCTATCTCAATGACCAAAGGACAGTTGTGCTCAAGAACTATCAGGATATGACAGTTGTCGGCTGTGGTTGTCGATAAGGACACACCCACACAGACAGACACTGAGAGAAAAAGAGAGAGCGAGAGAGAGCGAGAGAGAGAGAGAGAGCATCAAATGCTGTTTGGTTCCAAGCCGTCAATGCTTTAAACACAACGCAAACAAAATGGACTGAATATTTGAATTTTAAGTGTAAATCGTAGACTTTAATTGTATGTAGAGCGAAATGCAGCCACGCCCACCCAAACTACCCCACCATCCTCCCCCGCCAGCAGCAGCAGCAGCAGCGCCCGACAAGCAGCAGCCGCCGCGCCTCTGTCACTTTCCACAGCCAGGCTTTGGAAATGTTGCACAGAGTCCAACGTGTTGAGACGCCGCGCGACCAACCAACTGTAAATAGCCGCAACCACGCCGCCCATATACCACCCCCTCCCAATACTACCCCGCCCCATAATTTGTCGCCTCCTGCAGCCATAGTAGCAGTCAACAAAATGCCATAGACCGCACTTTGAGATACTTTTGTATCTTGCAGCTCGCACTGCTGAATTGAACAAATTGTATAAAAGCTAATGCTAAGCTATAAATATATATGAATATATGAAAACCGGGTGAAAAGCGTGCAGCTTTGCCCAACAACCTAATTGTTAATAACTAATGAAAATCAAATAAAAACAAAAACAACTGTAAAAACGAATCAAGAAATAAATCAAACGCTAAAAAGAACTTGAAATTATGTAGAGACCAGCTACAAAAATATATTATATAAATATATATATATACATATGTATATATATATACATATACACTATATATATACTGCGTATGTAACTCTCTTGTATATGTACTAAACTTAAATACTTATCCTACACCCTACACACAACACACACACACTTACATACATGCAAACACACCTAGCTACACACACACATATACATATCGACGCGACGGTATTCAAAAAACTTCGTTCCCCAAAACTAAACTGTAAACTGTATAAAGCAAACTTCTTAACTAAACAAAGGAAAACCTAAAGTTAAACTACAACTAAAACCTAATTTAAATTCTAAAGAAATCAAAAATAAATAAATAATATAAAATTATCGTTTATTGTTATGCGTTTTAAGCTAAACTCGAATAAAATAACCGTATGTTAAATATATGACTAAATTAATGTAAATGTAGCAGTTAGTGTTAAACGTTAAGCAGCGCAGCATGTTGAAAAGTAATTAGTGAGCAATTATAAAAAAAATGAAAAAAAAAAACAAACATATATATATAAAAATATGAACTCGAAAAGCAAATATCGAAACGTAATTGCGCCCTGAAGTTGCAGAGCGCGCCATGTATTTTGTAATTTTCTTATAAATTTTATTATTTTATTTATTTAAAACAAAACAACAACAAAAAACCAATATATTTGATGAATGATGAGCATTTGCTGATGATGATAACGATGAAGATGATCGTGATGGTGATCATGATGATGAAAGTTGAAAAAATATAAAAGAAAAAATTTTATTAAAAAAAAAAACAAAAACAAAAACAATTTAAATGCGCAGTCTTTTCATTTTGCTGACAATGTGAAACAGTTGAAAGCGAGCGACGGTGAGTATCTGAAAACTAGCCGTAAATCCCCCCTCGTCATATACCTTCGATAGCTCAGTTGGTAGAGCGGTGGACTGTAGCGGTGCAAAGTGTAAAAGTAGATATCCATAGGTCGCTGGTTCAAATCCGGCTCGAAGGATTTAATATTTTTTGCTTTGAAAAGTGAAAATTATTTTTATATTTATTTTGAAATGATTTTACATTTAATGTTACATATATATGACGTCTTTCAGTGCTTTTATGTCCTATAAATAAATGCCTAAGATTCAGAAAATTATTTATAGAAATAGATTGTTAGCTAAATGAGTATTTCTATATTTATAGTTCATTATGTTATGTGTAAAGATTCGTGTGCATATTCGTAATCTTTTATTTGAAAGACAAAAAACATTATTAAATTATTTTAAATGTAGTATCACTTTTGATTTTCGCAAGGCTACATACTACATACATATATGTTAAAACTGCATTCGAAACGCTCAGCACAAGGAAACATATTTATTTTTATAAAAAGTTTACCACGATCCTTCGAGCCGGATTTGAACCAGCGACCTATGGATGTCTACATTTCGCTTAACTCACTACAGTCCACCGCTCTACCAACTGAGCTATCGAAGGTCTATATATGGTCGTGCCCAAAATGAGTTTATAAGTTGCTTTAAAAAACAACATTTTATTAACAAAAAAAAAAAAAAAACCATGTGAAGCACATTAAACAAAAGCGAATGCAAATGCTAATCGCAGCATAAAAAGTGGCCGCAGCCGTGGGCATTACGTGTTGGTCGCTGCTCGCGATAAGATGATAGCGAGTGCGAGCGAACTTAAGCGCTCGCAGGTATTCCAGATAAGGCAAAAAAAAAAAAAACTATAAATAAATATAATAGTGTATAAAGAAATCACTCAATGTGCGAGCGATTCGGATTCGCATGAAAAACGCAACGCGTGTCGGTTAACAATAAACAACAGTTGGTAACAAATGTGTTTGTTTGCGCATCTCGCTCTCTCGCTGGAAAACTATATGAGCACGGACCGTAAACAATGCCTCAACAAGTAAAATATTGACGCGTCAATTAAAGGCAGACAGGCAAAATAAATACTTGGTTATAATCAACAGGCAATTTATCAATGGACTTGTCAGAGCTTTACCAATTAATCAAGCTAATCTTAAAGAAAATCTATCAAAAATTAGGCTGCACCAAGCAACCAATTAAATAGGAAGCAATTATTATATACATATATATTGAAATCTTTCAGCTTAAGCATGCAAATACTTAAAATTATTTTCTAAATATTGTCTGCTCTATTTATTTGAAATATATAAACATTCCAATCCTCGTCAACTCACGTACAGTGCACATGCACACAGCAGCTTTTTGGGCCCAAAGCTCAATGTCATAGAGAAAAGCTCTTTACAGTAAGGCGCACTAATACATGCGCATTAACGAGCACACATTGAAGCGAATGAGGTGAAACAATCATGTTGTGATCTATATATGATGTAACGTTGGGTTTTAAATACGTATACTATACATATATACAGAATATTATTATAGATTAATAATTATGTAATGTATTTGTTTGCATGCGCTGATAAGAAGGAGGATTGCCCCAGACACGCAATCGATGCTTTTTTTGTCACATAAAACTGACTTGATGCTATTTATAGAAGCTCCGGATCACACACAAACACACACACACAGATACACAGACACATACGTTGCAATGCCGCTTCAAGTTCGACTGGGGCACATCAGAACTAGAGACTCGAGTCCATGTGAGTCATGCGGGAATTTTATTTATTTATTTTTCTTCTTTTTTTATCAACGGTCAGTAAATTAATTTATCCAGGCCCTGTTGTGCACTACAAAGTCAATTTTCGGCTCAATTAAATGACTCATCTGGGCAGCAAAAGATGCTGGGAAAGACACACACACTCTCACACACGCACACACACACGCAGCGGCAGGCAAAAATGTGACGAAGAGTTTGAGGTAAGAGAATCAACTGTTGCCAAAAAAAAAAAAAAATTAAACCAAACTAAGTACATATTTTGTCAAAAAAAAAGGTGTTTGAAAATTTCCTGGAAACTAGCAATTTTGTAGATTTTGTCAGCCCGATAAGCCGCCCACAGCAAATACCAAAAAGTGTGTAGGACGCAGTAAAACTAAGATTCATTCAATCATAGCAGGAAATTGATACCAAAGATCAAGCGAGCGGGCCCGAAAACTGGAGAGATCTCGGCACAGCGATAGCGCCGGGAAAAACTATTTGAGTCATTCTTAAAAATTATGAACATTTGTTGCAAGATACCTGAGCAAATTACACTCACGGACATTGCTGGCCGCGCCGCGGGGCACTCGCCGAGGGGGCAATCATTTTCTTATCTAACAAGACAGTTTGGGCAATCGATCCAGCACAGTTTTCCTTTATTATTTTTATTTCTTTTAAGGTCTCGTATACCTTACTCAATGGATCACACAGATTGCCGCACGGCGCTTAGAGCTGAGCTGCTCATCTTATGTGCCTGTGTGTGTTTTTGTCAGTAATTATCCGTAAGCTGTCAGTTTTTTCGCTCCGCTTGCAGCCCTTGCCTTCATGTATAAAATGTATATATACACAGTATAGATAGATTAACTGATATTGCCGCATGCTGCTTTCTCTATACCCTGTATTCATTGACAGCGAGCGAAGCAGGGTAGCATAGCTTAGCTCTTTCTGCCTGTCTGTCAGAAATAGTACTCGTACCTCCCGCGTTTAAAAAGAAACCCCCTTTTTAACAGCTAGGATCTTATTATTTGGTATATGCACACTTTTGTATGTCATATTCAAGTCCTGGAAATTTGGTTAAGATTAAACTGTAAACAGCCAAGTTATCTAAGACTGTTATCATCTAGTGTGGGTAGAAGAGCAAAATGGGTATGTTCTAGTCGGGCACTCCCGACTAGAGCACCCTTGCTTGTTCTTTTTATGACTTGCTGCCCTTTTTTCTGGTGTTTTTGGCATCCTAATTGGTTTGTTAAGTATCTCGCTCTATCCTGTTGGCCCTCGTGCGCCCGCGCGTGTGTGTGTGTGTGCCGTCTCGCTTATCAGCAAACACTTTGCGCGGCGCCGCCGTCGTCGTCGCTGCGGTAGTTTGTTCTCGGCCAGGCTAAGAAGCCAAGTGCGTAACCACCTGCCGCCGCCTCTTACTCTCTGATAAGGCAGCCTTTTTTTGTGCTGAGCGCGCGTTTGCCGCATGATTCACTTGTTGCCCACAGGCGAAGTCACAAGCGCAGCCTGCAGCCGCGGCAACCGGCAGCCGGCAGCCGGAGACGAGCATGAGTCACCGAAGTTGGCAGTTGCATCGGGTTTCTAGGTGGCCCCGTTAACGGTTGCCTTGATAGCGGAGCAGACGCAGCGCCCTTTGTTTACTGCCAGGCGCCGTGTTGTTTGATCTAAGCCCGCCCTAACAGCCGAAAAGCAACAAAAACGCGAACGCAAACAGCGGCAGCGAAACAATGACAACGACAGCGCTGCGTACATTGCTGGCGCTGCAAAGCTCGCTCGCCTGCTCGCCTAATTGCTCTCTCGCTCGCACACACAGTCGCACGCTTTGGAGCAGCTTTCGCTCAAGAGCACAACAGACATACGTTTTGATTTATTCACTGCTTGCTGATAACTCAACTAATTCACCACGTTCGCTCATGTACGCGCTTTGGCGCACACAACACATCGACCTTCGATAGCTCAGTTGGTAGAGCGGTGGACTGTAGAGTGATATACAAATTGTAGACATCCATAGGTCGCTGGTTCAAATCCGGCTCGAAGGATCTCAGTTTTTTGGTTTTTCTTTTTTTTTTTTTAAATCCTGTGTTTATGTAATGTGTTTATTTAACACATTTAATTATTGCCAGTCGAATTTATGAGATATTTAATAAATTAAAATATTGTTTAAGCCAATTTTCACGTACTTTTGAGCATGTTATATTTAGATGATTGTATTATGTTGAAATTTTAGTTGGCTGCTGGAAAATGAATGCCAAAACTATGTATAGAATTTCAATAGTACATTTTATCATAAATTATAGTATTAAAGATGCCTATGTAAACATTTGCAAGGCTTTCGTTTTAGTTATAAGAATAATAAATATGGAATTGTAAGTTATTTAAGTAAGTTTGCTGTTGTTGCTAACAGAATCAAGGCAAAAATTAACATTGCATAACCATGCACAAATGGCTGAATAAAGGCATAAAATGCTGGTAATTGCAATCTGTTTATTTTGAGCACCTGCATCACATTGAAATGCTCAATTAATACAAGGAACTCAAAGCTATTAGTTAAGAAAATTGCCACAGTTCCCACTAAGTTAGTAGTCCCATTATTGCTGACATTCCCATTTAGAATTGATCTCTTTAAGGCCGAACTTCATTTCTATGGGCCGCCAAAGGTAGAAGAACAATTGGGGGCAGCTCAATTTGCATGGACAGACGGTCGGCTTTGAGGCATGTGCCCCAGGGGCACAGGCAAACGGGACAACAAAGGCAACGAAATGTCTGTCAAAAAGTTGCAGACGT